AGACTCCCAACATCACTTTTTATATTTAAGTTGTGTAGTTGTTGGTGTTGGCCTAATTTATATAGAACTTTTTCAAGGCCTGTTTATTACCCAGATCATTGGAACTAATACAACTCAAGGTTATTCACTGAGTGAGGAGTAGAAGTAAAGTGCTCAGCCACTGGTTTATGTCTAATGCAAGAAACACAACACTTTTGTGAAACTATTGTTATACACTTCATTCTTCATTACAGCCATTTGTGATGATGTATGTATATATGATGCCGGTTGCGATGTTCTCTTCCACAATTTTGACGAGACGTTGAGTCCAGTTAGCGAAGATGAAACCGCCTCGTGTATAGCACATCGTGTCAGCACATCATGCGATTGTCCAGTCGGAACAGTGTTTGATAATTTACCACAGAGCGTCGACTCATCCAGTTACTGGGGAAGTCAGTTGTGTGTGCGTCCTACAAGCTCCTGTGTGTCTCTGTGTGAATTTGGCGGCCAAGTTTATGGAGTAAGTCAGTCCAATGTATGTCTTAAGTCAAGGCAACTAAACTTATAAATTTAAAGTAAACCAATGTCAGTGCTATGAGATACACATTGAGAGCTAGGATTTTCACATTACAGTACTCTGTTCCCATGTTCATATCTACATAGTCTTTTTACGTTTATTTATTTTTCTACTACTATTCAGTTCATACCTATTATTTATTTTGAAATTGGCGCTTAACAAATGTTTGTTTATTATTGTTATTATATTATAATTATGGCTGAAAGCAACTCCATTCCATAAGCCTCATAAAGAGGCTTAGTTTATAAAGCATCATTCTGTCCTGTAATTGGTGAATGAGAGCAGCTTAGCTCATTCAGCTAATCTGGTCGTAGCCACTGTGTGTGCTCCGAACCGTGGACATCTCTAGGTCCCCGGTTCAATTCCCGTCACTGCCTCTCCCTCCTTGTAATTTAGCTGGAGGGACTAAATACAAGTTAGCGCAGTGTAGCGCACTGTCTTTTGGATGAGACATTTAAGCTGTTGGTTCCGTGTGCATTTATGACCCATGTGCACGTTAAAGAACGCAGTACACTCTTCGGAAAACATTAGGGGATTGTCTCGCAGTGTACTGCCCAATCACCACCAGAAGGACCCCAAATTTGAAATAATTCTTCTTTTAGACTTCCGTGGGCTATTCTTGGTGTTTACACCAAATAGATCCAATCCAATCCAATTATTTGCTGTTGAATGCTAAAGAGATAAATTTTGCCTTGGGCTTGGGAATGGGCTTAGCTTCTTAAGTCTAATTAATCTATTTGTTAGACAGGATCTAATTAATTTGTTTGATTAAGTTAGATGTTTTATTAAACTGTGATTATTAGTCTGTTTTTTAGACACCATCACTGGTTCTCAATCAAATTTTATTCTATTTGCCATAATTAGGTTGATGATGAATTCATCTTAGCCTGTGAGACGTGTACATGTACAGAAATGACTAGCACAGATAACACTCTAACTGCTGATTGGGATTGTGTTCCAATGCCAGATTGCCACCCCACCACAACTGTGATGACCACAACTGTTGCTTCTACAACTGTTGGGTATTGTGAGGTACGTATATATAAGTTAACTGCATATCACACCACAATATACATACTGCATAGCCGCCGGTAGCATTTTTGCAATTGCTCTGGCAACTATACGAGCAGCATATCGCTAGGAATTATTTAAAAGAGACGGTGAGGGAGAAGGGTGTGCAATAGGTTCATTTTTTTTTTTTTTTTGTAAATATTCAAAAATGTACTCTCCTCTATTCTGAAGAGTTTAGAATGACAAACTTTCTACAAAATACAAAATAAAATATCTGGTTTCTTTGCATTAATATTTGTAGCAGTTTACAATAATTTCAGAATCTTGAAATCATGTAAGCAATTGTCACTTATTTGCTTCCAATCATTCTAAAACGTAGTATTAAAGCCTTTAAAATATTGAGAGGTTTCCAATATTTAGTGAAAGTTTGATCTTTACGGCAGTGGAATGCATAGGGGCTCTGTGGGTGAGGTACTGGGCCGTTCCTACATAGACAATATTCCTGGAACAGATTTTGTAAAAATTTTTTATGTTGCAATTAGTTCTGGGTCAAGCTACAGTTTGACTGGACTAGTTAAGACCCCATTAAGTAAATAGAGATTTTTGTCTCAAAGGAACCACCATGTCAGTGCTCATGTGCTTATCCTTGTTCCTTTTTGCCGTTTACTGGACAAAACTTACCATGTGAGCATACATCTCTGTAAATTATCTGCATGTCTGTCTTCATATGTGGCAAAGACAAGCCAAACCAGTCACTCGTCACAAATAATGATCACAGATAATGGCCAAAACATGCTAGAATGTCAAAATTTTTGAAATCTATTTTATTGCACTAAACTAAACTTTATATATCTATACGTCATGCTATGCTGTTATTTTCCCCATTTTCAATGTTAAAACAAAAATTGTTAACGATTTGGGGATAATCTTTGCCTGAGAAATGCAAGAAATCATAAACTTTGAAGGCATATTTCTCAAATATTGGCCTTTAAACAGCTGTATGTTTAAATGTTTGTAACTTCATAAGGAAATGTCGATTTTTGTGACCAGTGACTGGTTTAGCTTGTCTTTGCCACATATTTACTTGTTCTGTATAGGGCTATATATATTTGTTAACTTATGTATGTATACTTGGATATTAAACTAGTTATCTATATACATGTGTAAACATTGGTTTGCTTTCTCATTGATAGGCAAATACTGTTAGAGAGTTTGCAGAGACCTGCAATACTTGTGAGTGCAATGTACTTACTGGTGAATTTGACAGCAACTGCCAGAGCTACTGTAGGGAAACCTGTCAAGAGGTAAAATGATTGACATTGGGTATTGTTACATTACTTTTATAAACCAATCCCTAATTCTGATTGGATGTCATACAAATAATGAATGTTTATGAGTGCAATGGGGTAGAATATTTCATGAGGTGAAAGATTGGATGTTCTATTGAACGATGCGTTCAATTCTACCCCATTTTACGAATGGGAAACATTCATTATTTGTTTTATGCAACACCTCTGTATCTCTCACCATTATATTAATAAATACCTTGTCCCGTAGGCCCTCAGGTGTAGGCCTAGCTTAGCATGCTGTATCTAACAATAGCAAAATCTTTGTCATATCTTTTTTACTCACAGGGTTTTTATGAGTTACTGCATATTTTTTGCCTTTTTTGTTGATTCGGCATCACTTTCATTCAGTAATTATTCAAAACTTCTTTCCTCAAAAATACAAATGGTACCAAATGCCATTTTATAGGCAGAGCGAGGGTTGGGGCTACTGAATAACCAACTCCTTGTTGACGCGCAAGTTTTTACTAGGATAATTTTTCTCACTCGCATCGCGTTGCATGTGAGATTTGTGTCGTCTTGGAGATGAAAAAGTAGTATTGAACGATGTTGACTAGTACTCAATTAACCATGGGATATTCATTTTTAATTAGCATCATGTTACCTGTTTTTAACCAATCAAATTAATAGTATATATATACAGATGTTAAATAATTAAAAATTAAACGAGCCTTACCTGCAATGTGAAGTTTGATGACAGTTCTACCATATCAACAGTTGCACCTCAGGGTTAACATGAGAAGCATGACCAGTGACCGCAAAATCAGACTTCATGTCTGCAACTATCGACGACATAGACCTCACCAGCTCTTGCATAAATGACTCATTTTCTCTAGCCGGCGCCCCGCATGCTCCATCATTTTTATAACAGCAGACTACAACTGCAAAAAAAAAAAAACCAAGAATGGAACGAAAATAGTGTATACCCTAATCAGAAAGTACGGTACCTAACTATAACGAAGTGAATAAATCATAGAGCAACACCTGTGGTCACAATACACAATAGCCGAAGGTCACATACCATACCGGCATCAATAGTAGTCACCTGCATGTGACATGAAAGTGCTAATACATGTATTGTTACATCTATGTAACAATACATTTATTAGCATGTATAGCCTATAGGCTATATGGAGACAAAACAGCTTACTCACTCTCCATGCACGATATACAGTAGTAAATTATTGTGTCATTATTAAAGTATATAAAAATATATAGTAGGGAAACAAATAGCTTACTTTTCCTTACCCAAGTGAGGCTGACAGCACACAGCTTGGTTATAAAGTTAGAAACAACTCAAGGTAGCCTCAAATGATCGACCTTGCAATATGCCAAGATATGAGCCAAATGACTAAAACAATATAAAAATGACCCAAACTCTTATAAAGACAACATCACTAAAGCCCTACTCTAACAAAAAACCTAAAATAATCAAAAAATTACGGACATACTTACAACCTTTGAATGCTGCGCCAACAAGACTTGGTTCACAAACACTGAGATAGGCACACATCTAAATTCCGTGGTAACTAGAAGCACAATGATTTTGCGGTCACTGGTCGTGCCTCTCATGGTAACCTGGAAGTTGTATCACTGCTGATGTGGTAGAATATTTTATTTAAAGATTGGATTAAGACTCCAATTAGAATTATTAGTTGATTTAAGACTGGTGTAACAATAACCACTGGCAAAACTAATTCCTCCATGGGCAAACTAAGTTCTTATGATTGCTGTTTTTCTAAAGATATGGTAAACAACATGGTTAATGTGGGTAATACGCATTATATAGTGGATTAGTATGGTTTGAGACAAATCCTGGACATTGAGCAAAATGATAGCTCCTACCCATCACTTATGAACAGCATTCGATTTCCAGCATTCTTTGTGTGTAGCAAAAAGTGCTATGCACTTTTTGTTTTGTGTAGCAATCCAAAAGTGTGCCTAGCATTTTTTTTTCTGAGGTGATAATAATAGTAATACATACATACATACATACATGAGATAAATGAACATTACTCCTCACTGTACAAATATGTGTGAAAGCGAAATCGATCTACAGGGTAGCATTTGTGAAAGTACTTAGTTTAAAATGCGCCGCATTTTGCGATGCGGTACTGGGTAAATCAAACGCTGCTTATGAAGCTTACTGATTATTTACTGTGCTTTGCTGTATCTTTAAAACCACAACTTTTCAAGATATTGGAATGTCAGTTATTGTTTTTAAAGAAGTAAAGTAAATTATTGGGATGCACAATACAATACAATTTGTACCCTTTTTTTTTTTTTTTTTAAATTAAACCCAATAATGTCATGTTGTTTTCTGACACACAATTGTGCTCCATGTAAATGGAGCTTTTGATTATTAGATGTAGACAGGGGTGTAACCTCAGGCAGAAGTCTGTGAGCGATTGGATGGTTGCGATGATTCGTGTGAATGTGTAGATGCTGATTCTACTACTGATGTGGGTCGATGTCTCGTCGTCATTAGTGATTGCCCAACTACGACACAGATTGTGACTACCACAACACTACCTGTCTCTTATACACATCTAGATGTGTATAAGAGACAGGTATACAATACTGTAATAATATAATTATTGTTATATATTACATATATTATATATTACTATACTATACTATATATTTAATATATATGTCTTCTTTTCTTATTTGGCATGATAGGGTTTCAGGTTGATTGATGACGATAACATATGTTGCCATTGTGGTAAGTAGTTTTCGAGTTATAAAGAATGACTAGCTTTAACCCATCTTATTGACAGGAGGCTAAAGCTAGGCCTAAGTCGCCCTTGCGAATTGATACAACTCAACTGACATCAACTGACATTTGGCAACTAGCGAGTAAACTGTAAGTTGCACTTTTTGAGGCAACATGAGCGCTTTGATCTCCATTTGCTTTCAGTTGCTCTCAGTTCCCCATGTTCTATTTTTCACGATCAAACGCAACTGGTAAATAGTACAGTATTAACCAAGTAACTCCATTGTGCGCTAAAATTGCATCAAGTAGGTAGCAGTGCATGGCAACTAGTTGTTATTAATTACACATGCTTAAGAAACATATGTACTCTGGGCAATTACATGCTTGCAGTGGCTTTTAGTTGCGTGATTGCGAGTGAAAGTCGACATGAGCACTACGGGCAACTATTTGATGTCAGTTGATTTCGTGTAAGTTGACTCAAGGCGACATAAGCTTAGCCTTAGGACAGGTCTCCAAAGATAGACACTCAGTGCATTGGCACGACTGAACACAAATACAATGATAGGAGTGATATAATAATGAAATTAACAAACATAGTAAAATTACTATAAAATAACATTATGAATAAAGTTATTTTAAGAATGTTATTATTAAGAATGTTGGTATTAAAATTAATAACATTAATCACATATACTATAAAGCTTGTTATGGAAAAGACTTTCATTAGAGATATATTGAACTTGAACTTAACAAACTTCCCTCATAGCTCAGTCTACTTCGTGAATACTTACCTGGATAACCGACTAATTGCCATTGTTCCCAAAACGGAACACCCCTTCGGAAAAAAATGGAACAGTCCAACCCAAGGCGCCATGTGCGAACCGTCTCCCTAACAAACGTCCTCATTCCCTTTTCGACGTTGTTCGAAGTTGGATACATTCTAGCCTTTGAAATTACTAGCAGTCTTTTCAGGCAATTCTGTTCTTATCTTTGCCTTGGATTTATTTTCAACTTACGGCTGCTTTTCCGGTCCCCGAGGACCAGTTCAAGCAGTTCATTCAGGCGCCGCCCATTCCTCGCGCTGCCAAGGGCAGACTGCGGGAGGATCAGAAGCTCTCTTCTAC